ATAATAATAATAATAATAATAATAACAACAACAACTGGGGCTGGCCAAATAGCTCAGCAGATTAAAGCACCTGTTTAGGCAGATGCAGGGACCAGGGTTTCATCCCTGGCCTGTCTTACCAGCCCAGGCCCAAAGGGGTGCGCTGAGGCAGCAATTGAGATGTGGTGACACGCGCCTGTAATCCCAGCTCTTTGGTAGACTGAACACGGATCACTACGAGTCCGATCTACGCAGTGAGGCCCTGTAGACCCTTACTAAAAAAATATAAAAAATAAATAAAATTAAAAAAATAACTGATTTCACCCAGTGTACACAGCTGTAACCCCACCTACTCTGGAGGCTGAGGCAGAAGGATCACAATTTCTAGGACAGCCTGGGCAGTTTAGCTAGAACCTGTCTCAACATTAAAATTAAAAAGGGCTGGAAGTATAGTTCAGTGAGGGGTCACTTACCTAGCCTCCAAGAGACACCAGAAACCCTGATTCAGTCCCTAGTTTTCTCAGTGCTTTTTTCTCATTGCTGGGACAAAATACCTGACATCCAAAATTAAGAAAGGTGTATTTAGCTCATAGTTTGTGGAGGATTCAGTCCATGCATGGCTGGCTCCAAGGCAGAGTGGCACATGACAGAGGGTAGCAGTTCATGGCTGCAGAAAACAGCAAAGAGCCAAGGGGAGGAGTAGCAGCAAAAGTGGCAACAGAGAGCCAGTCTCTCTCCTTTCCTTATATTGCCTTCAGGCTATCTGCCCCAAGGTGGGTATAGCACTGATACTCATAATCCCAGAAGTACTCAGACTCATAATCCCAGCCTTGGTTCATGAATTAACCACAAACTCTAGAACTGCGCCCCAATGACCGCATGAGGCTTTGGGGGAGACAACTAGACACCAACCACAACACTAGCACTGGGGGAAAAAATCAAAAATCAAAATAAAAAAGTTTGATTAGCTTGTAAAAGTTTCTCCCATGACAGAGTTATAGAAAATTTAATTTTAATCTGATACACTCCAAAAAGAGCTGTCGTTCTCATATTTGCCTGACTCCATACACGTATGGGTGGCACATTTTGTGTGCTACAAGTGTTGTTGTGTCCCTCCCCACCGTTAGGTTTCTTTGGTGTACACACTCACGTTTAGGGAGAACGGAAGGTTGACCATTGACCGTTGACCGTTAGGTCCTTTCATCTTCCCATTTCCTTCCTCCGCCTCTTCCAGGGCAAGGCCCAGCTGTGGCATCCGGCTTTCCAACAGCACGCCCTTAGCAGAGGCCCTACACTCACTCGCACACATTATGCGGGTGGGTCACATGCACTGGCTGGCGGTGACCCTGAAGGCTGTCAGTGGAGAGATGTGGACGGCGGTGGGGCAGTCCAGATACCCTCCAGGAGGAGAGTTGTCATATTCAAAATGATGATTTTGTATCTCGTTATATAAGTGCAAAAATGCTTAGGACAAGTTGGGGGTAGGGCGATATGGTAGTTGCCTGTTGCTATATCCAAATAAACTGGGCAAGTCCTGAGCAAAAGTGCGCCTGGCTCATGGCTCTGCAAACTGGGGACCAGGTCCAGGGTGCCTCTGGAGAAGGCCTCTCTCCTGCGTCGGAACACAGTGGATGGGCAAGCAAAGCATGTCCAACACAAAGAGCAAACATTAGGCCAAATCCATCCTTTTTATCAGAAACCCACTCCCGAGGTAACTAACCCAGCTCCAGCTTCGTAAAGGCGAAGCCGCTGCGGCCTCATCACACCTGGCAGCTGTTACAATGACAGTCAAATTCCAGCATGAATTTTGGAGGGGATTTGTCAAACCACAGCAGGCAGTAAGCACTTATTTTTCTGTTGTCTTTGGTTTTAGTTCATCTAGTTGTACAATAAGTTAACTGTGACTAGTCAAGGAACAATTACTTTTAGAGAGATTTAAGTGTGAAATGTGAATGTTGCTCTTGCCCTAAAGGTCTGAAAGTGCCTCCTGAGGCTCTGAAAGAATTTCTTTTTGTGTCACCCCTTCCTTCTTGAACACTGACTTCTGCATGCATGGCTGTGCCTCTTGAATAAATCCGGTCCATTAAGGTTATACAACGTCATTTATTCGTACACAGATAAACTAGAAATGCCAACAACAGTCTAACAGCAACTGCATCTCAACCCATAAAATAAATAATTCACTGAGAATATAAAGTTCTTGGCATTGCTTTAGAAAAGTGCTTCATATTTCAAGTGCTTTTCCGTGGGTTGGAAAACTTTATTATTATAACAGAAAGCCTTTTTTAGTTGTAAATAAACTTTACAGGAATGCCAAGTTTTGTTGTTTTAGCCTATTAAATACAACTGAGCTTAGTCTGATGGACTGTAAAATGGCATTACTACCCAGATGGGACATTCACAGGTATGTCAAGCTGCCCGGTTCTTTTTCTTGGTTGGCTAGAGTCTGTGTGTTAGGCGCATGGACAGCGCTGATGGACCGGCAGCCACCCCTCCAGAGCCCTGCTGAGCTAGCCACTCCTCAGACCACGTGTGGCTCTTCCCCAGGATGTGGGCTCAGAGAGTAAGGGCCGCCCTTCCTCAGAGTATCTCATAGGCTCCTGGGTAGGAAGAAAGATGCCTGAGTGTTGGACACACACACACACATATGCACATACATGCACACATACACATATGCACATATGCATGCACACACACACAGGTGCATGCATTTGCTTGCAAAAGCTTTGAACCCAAACCAGACTGGAAGATTACCCCAGACAAGTAGCTTTTGAATTGTCTCCTTTTCCCCCACTTTTATGGTTTAACTACTACTTCATCTGTAAGTTAGAGGCTGAGCTGGATATTTAAAAGACAAAAATTTGTATTTACTTATAGAAGATGTTAACTTAGAATTTTTTCTTTTACTAACAAGTAAAAAGGAAGGGGGAAATGCCCGATGATACTATCAATATTTGCTTGTGTTTCACTGCAGTGGTTTCTCCCCCAGATTCCATGTTTTGGACACCAGCAGAAACAAAGTGATTGCTGCAAGCGCCTGTCCTCTAGCCCCTTCCAGAGCTCATACTTTAGCCTGGCCTTTCCGGTCTTCAAAGAGCCTCCATAATTTTGTTGTTACTGGGCTCTGGGCCGGCATGCAAGGGTAGGGCTCTTCTTAGCTCAGGCATGTGCCTGGCTGCAGCCCAGCCCAGAACCACTGTATTTTTGATGCTAGACTCCCCTGGTGTAGAGCGGCTGTAATTGGCTTATTTATTGGGTGTGGTGTTTTGATATTGCCCATTGGAGAAGTTTTCAGAGTTTTAATTATTTCACTGTTTCAAAGTTTTATTCTAAGGGTTTAGGTGAGCCTTGAGGGATGAACAGAAAAGAACCAAGAAGCTTAGGAGGAGGAAGCCTGACCCCAAGAGGGGTTCGGAGAGGTCAGCACAGCTGCTGGAGAGACCACGCGTGCGCAGTGCCTGTGTGCACCGGAGGGCAATGTGCGAAGGTCAGGCGGGGACAGCGGGTGACCTGGCAGCAGCAGCCAGAGCACAAGAGCACCCAGAGTCTGAAGGAAGTGAGAGAGGGGTCTTGGATTTGATCCCCAGGACAAATTGAAGGGGTGGGATAAGGTAGAAAAGTGAGCCAGGAGTTGCAGGCAGCGGTGGCTGTGAACTGCACAGCTTCTGGGGAGACAGAACAATCCAAAAGATAGAAATCCTCCCCAGAACCAAGAGTGAGCAGAAGGAAGCATCGGATGAGCCCAGGGCGGGTCATGCCACTCCTCCCGTGGTGTCCTTTTCTGTTGGTTCCCAGCACCCATTTCCGTCTCAGTCCCAGATCAGCCCTTAGGCAGAATCAAAGCTAGAGTCAGGGAGCAGCCAGCCTGTCAGACCAGAAGTTGGACAGGGCTTGCAGGCCTCTGAGCCTGTACATAGAAATCTAACAATCGGGCTTCTTAGCTCAGGCATGTGCCGGCAGGGGCTGCAGCCTGCCACGATCTGCCTCTCTTTGTCAGTCAACATTGCTAAGAAATTACAGATTCTCCAGAGAATGTTTTGCAATGGCACAGCAGCGCAGTGGGACCACGTGGAAACAAGGGGGACTTTTGAAAGACCAACAGGGGGGCTGGGGAGATGGCTCAGCAGAATAAGTGCTTGCCCCAGGCAAGCGCTTGAGTTCAATCCCCGGTTCAGCATAAAAAAAAAAAAAAAAAAAAAAAAAAAAAAAAAAAAAAAGCACAGCAAAATGAAAGACCAATAGGAAGCCAGAAGTGGTAGCACACACTTATCATCAATCCCAGAACTCTGGGAGGCTCAGGTAGGAGGGTTACAGGTTCAAGTCCAGCCTGGGTAACTTAGACTCTGTCTCAACATTGAAAAATGAAAGAAAATGTTAAGGGCTGAGCATGTAGCTCGGTGAAAAGGCCAGATGAAACAGGTTTCACCAAAGCTCTCAGCTCTTGATGCTATGAAAAAGGTAATAAACGTTCCCAAAACTGCCTAGGACAAAGATTAATCTCAAGGCCTAATGTGCTGGTGATGGAGCAAGCCAAGGAAGATGAAGATACTCTTTTGTTTGGCTATTCTCTGAAATGATGCGCACTGTGTGTTTCAGAAAACTTTGGAAAATGTACACAAGTCATGAAGACATCGGGTATGACTTTGAAGATGACCCCAAGGATAAGAAGACCCTCAGGCCCCACCCAGATGTGGACGGCGGGTGGGCGTGGATGATGGTCGTGTCCTCGTTCTTCGTGCATATCCTCATCATGGGCTCGCAGATGGCCCTGGGCGTGCTCAACGTGGAGTGGCTGGAGGAATTCCATCAGAGCCGCGGGCTCACCGCCTGGGTGAGCTCCCTCAGCATGGGCGTCACCTTGATCGTGGGTACGTGTGTGCATGACCTGTGGGGGGCACAAGGGCTGCCAGTTACAGCTCCCGCTCTATGCAATGCCTGATGTTGATGAAACATTAGATACTGAGGCTAACAAAGATCTTAACCATTGCCCCTCTGCCATGTGCCACCCTGCCTGGGAGCCAGCCGAGGATAGACTGGAACCTCCTCACACTGACAGCAAAATAAACCCTTTCTCCTTTAAAAAATAAAAATTCAAGGCATTGGAGATAGCTCAGTGGCGTAAGTGCCTACCTACCAAGCACAAGGTCCTGAGTTCGATCCCCAATACCAAAAAATAAAATAAAAAATAAAAATTCATAATAATTATGGTTAAATATGGACAACATAAGATTTATCATTTTAACTCTTTTTAGGTACACAGCTCAGGGCTGGTAAGTACTTTTGTATTTTTGTTCGCTGTTACTGCCATCATCTCCAGAACTCTTCCATCCTCCCAGCTGAAACTGTTCTCATGAAATACTACCTCCCCACTCCCACCTGCCACAGTCCCTGGCTACCACCACTATATATTTGTCTCTATGAATTTGATTATTTTAAGTGCATTGTGGAAGTGGAATCCTATAATATTTGTCCTTTTGTGTGATATGACTATTTGAATGCTTTAAGCATTGATTGTTTTAAAAATTGATAATTTAAACTGGGTGTGGTGGCACACACCTGCAATCCCAGCATTAGAGAGGCTGAGGCAGGATGATCGCAGAGAGTTCGAGGCCAGTCTGGGTTTCATAGTGAATTTAAGGCCAGTCTGATCTACATAATGAGACCCAGTCTCAAGAAACAAAATCAGTTAATCCAGGTTAAACCTGGGCATGGTGGTACTTGCCTGTAATCCCAGCACTCAGGAGGCTCAAGCAGGAGTGTTCTCGTGAGTTGGAGGTCATGAGTAAGTTCAAGGTCATCCTGGGCTACATAGCGAGACCCTGTCTCAAAACACAACAACAAACAACAAAAATCTGATCATTTAAAGAAACTCTCTTCTGTCCCATACTCTGTTTTCTTAACTTACATTCACAATGTTACATTCATTGTGTCATTTCAAGTCTCTGCTTATTTCACATTTATGAGGGTTTTGTTGTTGTTGTTGTTTTTTGTTTTTTAATTAAAGGACTGGGGACATAGCTCCGTAGTAAGCAAGCAGCAAACTTGTTTTGGAATTTTAATATTTTTAATTTGAAATTTTATTGATCACCTGTTATTAGAAAAAAAAATTAAACTGTTTTGCAAAAGTTTGCTGATGTAACAGGAAAGAACAGTAATATTTTTTTTTTAGCTGAGCCTAACTACAGAACAACCTGCAAAACAGATTCTTCCTAGTTAGAGATACTGAACCTGACACCTATTGTAGCATAATGTGTTTCAGTCCGCACACCAAATAACTTTCATGCTCAACTAATACTAATAAGCATCTATTATATACACCGAGTGCTTTTCCTTACGTTACCTTGTTTAATTCTGTATAATTCTCCTAATCCTCTGAGGTCATTACCACTACATTTTTTTAGTTGCTTCACTTGAAGGTAAATTGATGCTTTATTTTAGAAATGGATGATGTTTTATATTGCAAATATAACTCTCACCTTCTGGTTTTGTGAGTGCGTGTGACAGCGTATGTGTCCTTGGCGGGAGCCTGTAGCTTTTCAGGGAACTCTGTATGAGCAGTTAACTGCCTAAGTCCAAGTCGGAGATGTGCTGGTCTTGGCAGACATTCATTTGATGTCATTTTGATAATACGAATAGCAGTGGTACAGTGCATTAGTGCTAATTTTGGAAAAGAAGAGCATTATGTTTTTTCTCAAGGTGTATGGTGTGTGTGTGTGTTTACCAGAAGGAATTGTACTGATCTAGCCTAAAAAATAAAGACACTATTACGTGTGTGAGAAAATTATGGATAAAGCATTTTTGTCTGTAACATTATTGACCAATTCTTCCAACTCTGAATTGCTCTTGGTAAAGCCAGGACTGAACTGGACGTGGTGGTGCAAGAGGGCCATCTCACCACTCCGGGAGGCTGAGGCAGGAGGGCTGAAAACCCAAGCCTGGCCTTGACCATTTAGTGATTTAGGTAGTCTCAAAATTTAAGAAAAAAAATGTGAGATGGGGGATATAGGTCTGTGTGAAGACCCTGGGTTCAATTCCCAGTGCTGAAAACAAGAAACAAACCCCACCCTCGGGTTGTCCGTCATATGACAAGTGCAGGCAGCTTTTACCTTAGTGTAGACCGTGTTGTGATTTCCTACTGCCTGTGGTTCTCCCTGTCAGTAGGTCAGAAGTGGAGAATTGTGCTTCTAGAACACTTAACAGTTCAGTGTTCTTACCTTTTTAGGGTCACACAGAAAAGTACACATTTATTCACAAAACCAGAGAAGACTGGATTTGTTTCCAGTATAAAATACACTATAATTCAGAATTCTTAATTTTTTTTTTGAAGTATAGATCAAAATGTAGATTCACTCTAGGAAGTGCATGCCTGCAACAACTACAAAAGAAATCCTTAACCAAAGGCTAGGATGCAGAATGTTCCGGTGTTTCCCAAGCTGTCCAATAAGGTCATCTTATGTATAATTTTGTGCCTCATGAATTCTATAGAAACAAGCATGGAAAGCAGAACCAAAATGATTGGACGTGGTTTTGAGCATGATCCTTAAAATCAGAACCTCCAGTTCACAGCAATGGTGAACATGAACATTATCATTAATTCCCATTGGAGAAAGCATGTGCGCGCGCTGACATTAGGGAGCCCCTGGATTCCGCACAGCAGAATTCAGAGTATACTCTGACATTTCTACAAGGAAAACTGCCTGTCAGATAAACATCTTTTGCCTTGGTCGCATACTTCATGGCCTAGAAATGTTCATAGCTAGATAATGAAAGGTCTCTTATTTTATCTAGCATGGCCTTAGGCCATTAACTTCCTTAAATTCTAAATGTCCTGGTACAGAGTGGTGCCAGACAAAGTGAATGGCATGAGGGCATGTGTCCACTGGGAGCCATGTGACAGGTCTTTTGTTCTTTTGCACCTACTGTGGGGCAAGTGCATATCACTGCGGGGAGAGGCTGAGCTGGAGCTCGGCCACGCATTTGGGGCTAGAGCAAGGCCAGCCCTGGGACCAGGAGTGCCAGAGGCAGTGTGGGAACAAGCTGTCTGGACTAGAGCACAGCTGGCCCGGCAGGTTTTCGGCCTTGTGGTTGCCCTTGGCAACTACAGCACAGAAGCTCCAAGAATGTTCTGCTTTCAGTGTTCTCAGCAAAACACTGAGACCTTGCACTTTCGGCCCCATTGCACGCTTATCCCCTTTATATTCTGCACAAATAAAGAGGCAGGGCCAGGCACAAGAGCCTGCCTGGCAAGCACAGAGTCCTGAGTTTGAGTCCCAGTACCAAAAATAAATAAATAAGCAGAACTCACTGGGTTGTTGCTGCCTCTTTGTTAGAGAGGTCAGGTCCCACCTGGTCCCAGCTTTTCTTTTATTATTTTTCTAGTTTTTTCTTAATCTCCTGCCACGATCTTTCAGAACCCCACTGGATGTACAGGGTGAGACATACTATACACACGATTTCAATGATTCTGTGACACTGAAGGCCAGGCCATCGCCTCTATCCTACAAGGGAAGAACTTGTAACCTTCAGGGACATTAAGTTACTGAAGTCTGAGCAGCCAGGAAGTACAGGACAGGCTTCAACCCTGGTCCACTAGACTCCAGCAATGTATTCCCTCAGTTCACATGAGAACTGAAAAGAGACTTATAGTGAATGAATACATATTGTTTACATCTTCTAATTATTGTAAGTGCATTTAGGTTACCTATTTTAAATTGTTAAAAAAAAAAAATCTATGAATCATATTGCAGTAGTTGGAAGCCATTTCTGTCTTGGTCAGCAGTTTACACATAGGAAATCTGATAAATAAACATTATTTTATTCTTTAGCAGTGTGCATTGTCAGGAGTCCCGCCAGAGACCCCAGCTTTTAATAAAACCTACTCCCCCCCATTCCTGTTGGGGCAACTTCTGTGATGAGAGCTCCTTGAATAACTTTTGGTGGGGAATCCACCAGGGCTACAGGAGACAACTGGCTTCCTAGTAGACCTAGAGCTATAGTTGTTTGTCCTCACTGCACTGCAGAGCCACCTGGGGGCTCAGGCTGATCCTAATGCTCAAGGTGCACTTGGACTATTAGCCCAGAATCCCTCGGGATGGGATCCAGGCACGAGGAGGCTTTTCATTAAGCTTCAGAGTGATGCAGTGTGAAACCAAGACAGAGAGCTGTGAATGTGGAGGCGCTAAAGATTTATGCACAAGACTCGGGGCTAAGAGAATGGCCTCCTTTCACCCCAAGTGCCAGCAAGATTGTCGTTGTCACCTGAGCTCTGACTCACCTATCAGGTATTGGGATAGGCAAAATGGGATGACACTGTTTCAGTCTGTAGTCAGCTGGTTCTGAGGCAGGGCGACGTGGCAGAGGGGCGTGGGAGAGGAGAAACAGCTTATAGGATGGTTGCAGGAAGCAGAGGGAGAGATCAACGGGGGAGGAGGGAGCTAGCCCCTTCCGGGTCATGACTGCAGTGGCCCCTCCTCCCACCAGGCTTCTGCTCCTGACACCACATCTAGCTATGAGCTCAGTGCACTAATCTGCCAGAGAATCACACCCCATGGTCCACTCACCTCCCCAGAACCCCACCTATGAGCACAGGAGGCTCTGTGGGTTCCTCTAGATAGAAACCACACTGCTACTGAATTCTCTCCTGTCTTCAGAGCATTGGGGGAGTTCTTTTTATTTTTCTGAAATGGCAATGAATGTCGGACATCCCCACTGGCTACCAAGGAGCAGTGGTTAGGAAATGAGACCGAACTGGAAAAGCTTGGGTTTGAAATCTTTTTTTTTAACTTCTAAAATTTAAGAAAAGAATTTAAGAAAAGGTCTCTTACTTAACTGTAGAAAATTAATATCATTTCTGGGTTGATTTTGCTCCAACATGCAAAAGTTGGTTAACTAGAAAGCCAGATTGTTGTCCACCATATATTATCAACTTCTTATTCCTATCACTAAAGAACTCGATGCCAGGAGTGGTGGTGCACACCTGTAAACCTTGCACTTAGGAGGCTGAGGCAGGAGGATTGCTGCAAGTGGCTTATTACATTAAGTAATATAGAGGCCAGCCTGAGCTGCTTAGTGAATTTGAAGCAACCTGAACTACATAGCCAGACCCTATCTCAAAAAAAACAACAAAAAAAACCCTCAGTACTTTGTGTCTTGTTTATAAACTTCCTGCAGACATGAATATTTGTGCTGACTTGAGAACTGCTTCTTTATTTTCACCCCCTCAGATGCTCTGCTGGTGCGGTGTTTCATAAACACAGAGCATCTCAGGAAAAAGTCCTTCTGGGCCTTTGGTGTAATTTGGAAAACACTGGGCTACTGAACTGTGACCAACTGACCTTTCATATCTGAAAAGAGCTATGAACAGCGAACTTGATGAGTCTTACATTTTTCTTTTTTACCCACTCATCCAAATTTGGTGAGTCAAGTGACCATGGGTTTAGGAAAATAAAAATATATGTAAAGAAATTAAAGAACTACTGCAGCTTCAAGTTATGGCATCTGAATTTCCATGACTCCCAATGATTTCCTTAGTTGTTTACACCAACAGGCTTATGTTATGAATTCTTCATATAAGCTACATAACATTATAATATGCAGCATATACTATATGTAAAATTACTTAATAAAGTCTCTTTTTAAGAGTTTTATCTGCTGAATTTTCTGTAATGCAACAAGGCTAATTAAATAAGCATTTACCTTCATGATGTTTTGGATTGGACCTGTTTTTGCTTTGTTTTGTTTTTCACACAGGATCTCACTGTGTACTTCAGGTTGGCCCTGAACTCCAAAGTGTCCTTCTGCCTCAGCCTCCTGAGTGCTGGCAGCACAGTTTGTTATGATGCAGATTCTGGTTGCTTTCTTGATTAGATGCACGAGCGTTTTCCTTTCCAACTTGCTTTCTGGATCACTCTGAGTTTGAGGCCAGCCTGGGATGCACAGTGAGGCTCTGTCTCAAAGAAAGCAAGCTGTGCTGCTGTGTGTTCTGTCACATCTGCAGTGTGTGCTGAGTCTCTACACAGTCACAAATGCAGAGCCTGAAGGGTGCCGGCTGACCCAAGCGTCTGCCATCCTTGGCTTGCATTTAGGTGTCCTGAGGAAACTGTGCTGGAGGCGCCCAGCTGTGGCACAGCCTTCTCGGAACCCTTTTCCTGAGCTGCCTTAAGAATGAGGGTCACAAACTCAGATTTGGGGGCTGCGTGTAGCTCGGCGGCAGAGCACTTTCCTAGCATGTGTGGAGACCTGGTTTGGATCGTTGGCCATGAAAACAGACAAAGAATGATGACTGTGAGTGTGTAAAGAGGCCAAATGAATAATGTGAATGAGGCCAGGCCAGAGGGACCTCAGAGCAGAGACTCAGGAGGGTGTGACAGCCCAAGAGTCAACTGGTATACCACACTGCTGTTCTGCCTGTATGGGAAAGTGGTCAGCACTGCTGCTGGATTTTGTTTTTAATTTTCTTAACTTTTAATTATTGGCAACTGATTACAAGCCTTTTCCAAACCTTACTCAAGGCCGCAGAAGGCATTCTGCCCCTACCCACCAGTTAAGGACTTCTGTCGTATGCAAAGGAATGAACCCATGTTATTTGTCTCTTTATTTCAGATCTGTGTTCCTTAAAAATATGGAATCTTGTGTTTTCGGATGAAATTATTTGCACCTGTCCCTGAATGCTAGAAAGGTCTCTGTCCATAAAACAATGTTTTGCTTTTGCCATATTCAATAGCTATCCCCTTTGCTTTTGTGTGACGGTCCGTAAGAAAGCATGAAACTGTTGAGGCGGGAGGACTGCCAAGAGTTCGAGGCCAGCCTGAGCCACATGGTGAGACCCTGTATCAAAAACAACCACAAAAGAAAGCAAAAAGATAAAGCATCACTAACTAGTTCCTTCCCGATGTTCTGTGGCAGGACCTTTCATCGGCTTGTTCATCAACACCTGCGGGTGCCGCTGGACCACAATTGTGGGAGGGCTGCTGAACGCCCTGGGCTGGGTGCTGAGTGCCTATGCAGCCAATGTGCACTGTCTCTTTATTACTTTTGGAGTGGCAGCCGGTAAGCATGGTTCTACATTTAATCTCTGTTTTTTGTTTTTTGGTACCAGGGAATCAAACTTGGGACTGCACTTGTCAGGCAGGTGCTTGTGCTGCTGAGCTATGTCCTCAGCCCATGACTGCAGCATTCTAGTGGTCATTTTAACAATGAATTTAATTGTAAGAAAAAAAGAGAAACACATAAAAACGTTTTGTGTCCTCCATCCCTCCCACCCTATATTCCAGGAAATACTTTCTAAATATAAGATGTTAAGACAATTAATATATATATATATATATATATATATATATATTTAAATGGGATGTAAACATGGGAAAGCAGCACGACGACTGTCCTGGGCTCGTTAATGTCCAGTGCCTGCTTCTATCTGCTGACCTTCATCCTATGGGGAACAAGAAAGGGAGGGTGATAATACACATTTAGGGCAACAGACAGGAAATTAGTAACCTCTCATTCAATAAGTGTAAAAATCAAACACAAATTGCAGAATAATCACTTACACCATCAGCCCTCTTCCAATGTAATGAAAATAGTGCAAAACCCATATGCATGTATAGATTCGAAGAAGTAAATCTTTGCATGGTCAGGGTCGCATTCTTCATGGATAGACTGAAACTGACTGATTACATTGATTAAAATTGACTGCTTGCAGGGCGGTTTGCAGGTCCATTCTGCAAAGGTGTTCCCAGCCATATTTCCATTATTAACAGTAGCAGGAGTCACACAGATAAATAGGCACTTCCTGGTCCAGTGTTCTTTCTGTGACCCTGCCCAGCCTGGCTGATTTTGAGGGCTGCATCACATAGGATAAGGGCTGAAAGTCAGAGCACAGAATGTTGGCCTTTCTTTGTATTTTTTTCTTTTTTCTTTAAATCACTTATTATTCTGCCTGTAAACAGGCGCAGGGGCTGGGGATTTGATCCCCAGGCCTGCTGTGCCTGCCCTGCCCCCAGGGTTTGCTAAGACTGCAATTGAGACTGGGCATGGTGGCAAGCATCTGCAATCCCAGCTCTTGGGAAGCTGTAAACAGGTGGATCACTATGAGTCCGATCTAGTGGTGAGACCCTGAACACCCTGTAGACCCTTCCCTAAAATACAAAAAAAAAAAAAAAAAAAGAAAAGAAAAATCATTTATTATTTATGTGACTTTGAACCTATTACTTAACCTACTCACACTTCAGTTTCCTTATCTGCAAAGTGGGGAGAATTAAAGCCATGAACGCTGAGAATAAAACACTTAGCACATAATAAAGCACTTAGTAAATGTTAGCTAATATGCAAATATGATAAGGAGTAATATGAACATGTTATGATATTATAAACTTAAATATCTGTCTTACGATAGTGTGAGGTGCACACGAAAACTTACTGTCGGTATGAATTTCCAAGTTGTTTCTTGGTGATATACATCTGTACCCTACGTAGTTTAAAAGTAATTAGGACAGGGGACATGGCTCAGGGGTATAAGCGCTTCCCTGGCAAGCACAAGGGCCTGAGTTCAATCCCCGGTTCCGCAAAAAAATAAATAAATAAATAAAATAAAAGTAATTGATTTTTTAAAGGTTATTGTTTTTTTTTTTTTTTTTTTTTTTGGTACTGGGGATTGAACTCAGGACCTTGCACTTTCCAGGCAAGCATTTATTCTACTGAGCTATCTCCCCAGCCCAAAAGTTGAGAAGGTTTTTTTTCTTGGCTGGTTCATGCTGCCTTAAGGGCAGGTCTGGTAAGGCATGTGGAGCTGGGGATCGGACCACAGTATCCTGTGAAAGGTTATTGATTTGGAGAACCTTATCACAGGACAGTTACAGAACAAGTTAAGCTGTTAACCCTAGATGTTTTAGGAACTTCTCCCCACCATGTCCAATGAATAGAACTCGGATTCCCTTTACTGGGGTGAAGGAGCTACAGTAGATCTCTCGGCAGATCCACAGCACCCCGTGAGCTTGCTGTGGTAGTGTTAGGTTAGATTATCTCTGATTTGGTCCTTAGAACTGGGACTTGAGACTTAGTCTCGTCATTTAGAGACTTCTATGGTCAGACTGTGTCAAGTTATTTTATTTATTAGTGTTCTTTGTTTATTGATCTTCAAATTATAATATCCCCATAATCATTTATTCATCACTTATCTACCCAACACATACATAGGAAGGAGGAAGAAAACCCTTCTGGAACTGATGAAAAGGAGGTATTTTTTGAGGCACTTCATTGCCAACAGCCTACAGTCCCATGCATGCAAAGCAAGCGCTGTACCACTGAGATACGCCCCCAACCCTGCTGCCACTTTTTATATGGAAAAAAAAACTCAAAGGAAGCCTCTAAAAATAAGTTTATCCATCATCCAACTGTCAGTCTATCTATCCATCCATCCATGCATCCATCCATCCATCCATCTATGGAAAATTCAGCTGTACCACTTAGGTGCAAAATGCCAGGCACTGTCATTAATGAGACATATTGAAGGCAACTGACAACTTAGCCCTTGTTTAACAGGAAAAAAGTTAAGTGCAGAGATCGCCTTGAAAAGGTGGGGTGTGTGTGTGTGTGTGTACACTCAATTGCTATATAATTTATGTTTGAAAGAAACTTGTTGGTATCCTTCATTGCAAAAAGCATTTGAGGTAGATGTTTGTTTATTGTTTGCTTTAATCACTTAAGTAGTTAAAATTGCATAGGGGCGTCCTCCTGTTAAGCAGGAAATGAACGGCTCTGAGCAGCCGTGTTAGCCTGAGTGTGGGCAAATGCCATCAACTTTGCCGGCTCCATTCTCCTCAGCTTGGCTGAAGCCATCCTCTCCCCATTCACCCTGACCAGACGAGAGGTTCTTTGTCACCACTCAAGTCCTTCCTCCACCCCACTTGCCAGGGTGTACATGCTTCCTCTAATCCTGGCTATGGGGAAAAAGTGGACTGGGGTTCTGCACTGGGCTGGACATTCCTAGGGGCTTTACTGAGCCCCACACCCCAAGACCTCCTAAAGTCACATGGGGAGGAGGGTGAAGGCTGTGAAAGGTGCAGATAGCTGGCACACAAGGGAAATGGAGCCTTATAGCATTGGACAAGACGTTTTCCTCCCATGCGGGGAGGCATTCATGACTTCTGGTGGGCTAGAATTAGCACTGTTCATATGCTTACCTCCCTCTGTTCTGCTTCTATCAGGCATTTTTTGCCACTGCTCTGTAGAAACCCACAATCATATTAAGTTCAGTATGTATGTACTGTCAGTGACACATCAAAACCTTTTTTTTTTTTTTTTTTTTTTTTTTAAAAAAACAGACTTATGTAGTGCCATCAGCAAACTGCAGAGTATGACAAATTCCACAGGACCAATGATGCAGCTTCCTCAACAAACTGCAGGACAAACAAGAGGCCAAAAGAGATTTCAAGTAATTATTGACAAATAGCAGTGTGGGGGCTCATGTGAATCCTGTTTGAACAACAACAAAAACAGTTTTGAATAGGCTTTACATTTAGAACTTATACTAAAAGATTCACACATGAAATAACATATTCAAGATTTGCTTCAAAATTATATGGAGGGAGCTGGGGAGATAGCTCAGTGGCATAATCACCTGCCTGGCAAGTGCAAGGTCCCAAGTTTGATCCCTGGTACTACACACTGGAAAAAAAATTATATGGAGGGAGTGGGTAAAGAATTGGTCGTAAACGGACAATTATTGTAGCTGAGAGACAGATATATGGGATTCATTAAACCATTCTACTTTCTTAAAAGCTTACTTTGAATTTGATTTAAACTGTCTTAGCTAATAGCCCATTTTAAGAGGTAAGATATTAACATTAATTGACACCTTGCTACAACACAAATGGATTACATTTACATGTGGAATATATATATAAATTATGGCTAGACACTGTCTTGGTCATTTTCTTGTTACTGGTACCCAACTTAGAGTACGTCGGGTTAATTTTGGCTCACAGTTGAGTCGGCCAGCTCCAGCGCAGAATGGCATAGCCAAGGCCACAGAGGAGGACAGCTGCTCACATGGCGGGCAAGAAGCCAAGGGCAGAGGGGGAGCTGGGAAGGGAGAGGTGCCCTGCTAGGCCACGCTCCCTGTGACCACCTCCAGCGAGCCCCACCACTTCACAACAAGGCATTCCCAAAGGCATCAGTGGATGAACTGATGAGATTAGCGCCCCAGAGGCCAGTCACTTTCCACATCCATGAAGCACTGGGGGACATCCTTGACCAAATCATAACATTCAGTGTAGCAGGCAGCATTGTCTTTATTCACTGATAGGAAAGCTCAGCCTCAGAGTATTTAATTGACTTGGTCAAGATCACATTGTTGCTTATAGGGGATGGATCTAGAATCTAAACCCAAAGCCACCTGGGTTCTTTCTATTGCGCAACCACAGTACTACCATAAGGGTGATGATACTGTGCCACAGTACTGACTGTCAAACAATCTCTTGGTTCTTTGACAAATACAGTCCTGTACCATGTAATGACATTTTGATCAATAGTGTCCCACATGTGCGACAGTGGTCCCCAAAGATCATACCACCTGGTGACAGCATAGGCAGCTTAGGTTTCATAAATACATTCTATGATACTTGCATAATGACATCACCTAGTGACACATTTCTAAGACTATATCCCCATTGTTAATTGATGCATGACTGTCAATGATTTTATAAACTAGCTGGACATGCAAACTACCACACCCCCTTTTCTTTTAGTGCTGGAGACTGAACTGAAGAGTCTTCACATTGAACTACATTCCTGGTCTTTTTTTTTGAGACAGGGTCCTGCTCTTCTCTTATGTTGTCCAGGCTGGGCTGGAACTTGTGATCTCCCCGGCTTAGTGTTCCAGAGTGCTGGGGTCACAAGTGGGCACCACCTTGTCTCATAGGTAACACATCTTGCCCCCAAAATGTTTATACCTTAACTTTGGAAATGTAAAACTAGTCTTATCTGGAAGTAGTTTCTATTATGTCAAAATATGAACATTTCAGGCCAGCCAGATAGTTCAGTGACTAAAGCGCCTGCTTAGGCAGAGTGCAGTGGCCGGGTTTCTATCCCTGGTCTGCTGTGCTGGCCCTGCCCCTGGGGTGCACTCAGATGGTGATTGAGACTGGGCATGGTGGCGCAAGCCTGTAATCCCAGCATTTGGGAGGCTGAAAACAGGTGGGTCACTTCAAGTCCAATCTACGTAGTGAGACCCTGTAGAACCTACAGACCCTGTAGACCCTGTACTAAGTACATTAAAAAAAACCAAAATGACCATTTTATCTTGCCACAGAACTTTCTTCCATGCATGTGTTATGCAGAAGTCAGCATTCTAGACACTTGGGAGAGACATCAGTAAACAAAACAGAAGATCACTGCCCTCGTGGGGCTTACCGTCTAGCAAATGAGGCAGTGAGGAAAGACCGTAATATACAGAGCCAATACACAGTCAGTACATAGTACATAAGTAAATCACATGACTAAGCACCATAGGCAATGCCTTATGCTCTTCTCGTTGCTGAGATGCAATAATCAATGCCCAGTTAAGGGAAGAGAGGTTATTTTAGCTCATGGTTTACAGAGATTACAGTCCATAGCCTGCTGGCTCCAAGGCACGGTGGCCTGGCAGGGGAGGGCTGCTCATGACATGGCAGGCAGGAAATAGAAACAGAGTCAAGGGAAGAGCCAGGAAGGGAAATACACCCTTCCAGGTCTCACCTTGTGTCAGTTACGATTCCTAGAGGAACTGATTTAGTACAGTGTTAAATATATGAGATATAAAGGATTTACTAAGAGGCCTAACGTGGCCGCCTGTGGCACTGATGAGGGAAGAATGTAGTTCTCCATCTACGTGATGGAGAGCATAGGCTCAAGGGGAAGACTGAGGGCCTGGACTTCACTTCAATGTGGTGTGTGGCCATGCCAGAATGCCAAAGAGTCTGCATGGGAAGCTGAGGAGTCTGTGCTAGAAGCCTGAAAGAGCTGGAGATGACCACCCAAAGGTGGGGGGGGGGTCCAGAGCCCCTCCAAAGACTTCCTTCTTCTTTCCCTTTTTTATTCTATGCAGGCTACAAGCCTATCGGGGGAGTTGTCTATAGCTGGGGTGGGCTTTTCCTCCTCAGTGTGCTGGCCTACAAGCCAGACACACCCAGAGCTGCACTGCACTAATCCACTGACATTTCTTAATCCATTCAAGTGGACACATTGAAATGAACTATCACAGTTCCCCCGAAGCCCTCCAACCTCCCAACAGCAAGTCAGCTACAGTGCCCCTTAATCTGAGCACCTCCTAAATCCAGAAGGCACTGGGCACCATTTTAGATATGAATCCTTAGCAAGACAAAGGGTAAACTAGGGTAAAATTGGGAGTGTTGGGCGTGGGGTGGTAACTCAGCAGGAGGGCTTCGTTTTAAAATTGGTTACTTGGTGTGGGCACCACTGAACATTTCATTTTACTTTCTATCACCAATAGACTTTATTTTTAGACCAATTATAGATTTTCCGCAAAATTGAGGGGCAAGTCCAGAGGGGTTCTACAGTCCTTGTGCCCCCAGACGCAACCCACTTTCCCCACCAGCATCTTATTTTTATGAATGTAAATAGCTGTTCCTGTTTTCTAAAGATACGTTTAAAAACCAGAGATGCAGGGAGTATTATGCTGCAGTTTTGACATTTTGTACTATGTATACTCCCGCGTTTTGTTCTCCCTTGACTTGTGAACAAATCAGCCCACTCCTGGGTGTCTGCAGATTGTCTGAAATCGCCCTTCGATTCCTCGGACGTGAACACTTTCCTCAGCCCACAGTGTAACCAGCAAGGCCAACACAGCAGAGCCTTTGGAGCGGCCACTTACTCTTTTTTCAGGCCACTGGGTGGGAGCGTCCTGGGCCTGGCAGGGCTGACACTGCAGAGCATCCTGTCTGCCCACAGCTTCTGTTCCTGTGGGAGGAGGCACCTCTGACACAAAGCCTCAGGGGGACAATGGCTCAGACAGCCGTGGGAGGAGGCCTTCCTGGGACTTCCCCGCGGACCTTTTTTTCACAACCACCATTATTCCTCTGCTAGAAAAAGCATGGTTGGACATCAGTATAAGGGAATATGGGCGCTGCAGTTTGGGTCATGCGTGTCCCCCACCTGCCCATGTATAGGCGGCTTAGTCCCCATCCTGTGGTACTATTGGGAGGTGATGATACTTTTCAGGGGCAGGGCCTAGGAAAAAGCACTTAAGTCTTTGGAGGCGTGATCTTTCCCTTGTTTTGTCTGCTTCCTTGACACCGCTGTGAAGCAAACAAGTTTGCTCCATCGCATATCCCCCCCGCACCCATCGTCTGCCATCACACAGGGCCACAAACAACAAAATAAGCCAACCAGGGTCTGAAAACTCTGAAATCCTGAGCCAGAATTAACATTTCTGTCTCATAAACTGATGTTCTCAGGTATTTGGTCATAGTGAGGGATCTCTAACCAGCTGTGTTCATGCTCTGCTGACTGATGTACTATGTACGTTTCTTCTCACCCCCCTGCAGGCCTTGGCAGTGGCATGGCCTACCTGCCTGCAGTGGTCATGGTGGGAAGGTATTTCCAGAAGAGACGAGCCCTGGCCCAGGGGCTCAGCACCACAGGGACAGGGTTCGGGACGTTCCTCATGACCGTGTTGCTCAAGTACCTGTGCATGGAGTATGGCTGGCGCAACGCCATGTTCATCCAGGGCGCTGTCTCCCTGAACTTGTGTGTGTGCGGGGCGCTCATGAGACCTCTCTCTCTGGGAAAAGATGAAGGTCATCCAGGAGGGAAAGATATGCAAGCAATGCCAGCTCCCTCCACAGAATCTGTAAGGTCAGGTGGACAGCTGGGCAGTGCAGAAGAGAAGGACAGCGCACTCGGGAAGGAGGGGACCATCTGCGACCTTCAAGCCCAGGAGTGCCAAGGCCAGGCCCCGCCCAGGATGAACATGTGCGCCTTGCGAGTTCTGAAGACCATGAGCCAGATCACCCTGCGGGTCCGGAAGGGGTTCCGGGAATGGTACTCTGGCTATTTTGGGACAGCCTCACTTTTTACTAATCGGATGTTTGTAGCCTTTATTTTCTGGGCATTGTTTGCCTACAGCAGCTTTGTCATCCCTTTCATCCACCTCCCAGAAATAGTCAATTTGTATAACTTAGCAGAGCAAAATGATGTTTTCCCCCTAACTTCAATTATAGCAATACTTCACATCTTTGGGAAAGTGAGCCTGGGCTTCGTGGCTGACCTGCCCTGCATCAGCGTGTGGAACGTTTTCCTCCTGGCCAACTTTACGCTGGTCCTCAGCATCTTTATTCTGCCCCTGATGCACACGTACGCTGGCCTGGCAGTCATCTGTGCACTGATCGGGTTCTCCAGCGGGTATTTCTCCCTGATGCCTGTGGTGACGGAGGACCTGGTCGGCATCGAACACCTGGCCAATGCCTATGGCATCATCATCTGTGCTAACGGTGTCTCTGCCTTGCTGGGCCCGCCTTTTGCAGGTAAGGACTTGAGACGCTCAGCGCTCAGAGGGTGTGCAGTGAAGTAAAGGTGCATGCGGTGGGGAGGGTGTCCCCTTCATGTGGTGAAGTCCAACTTCAAATGAGAAGGAAGATCTCATTGGTCTAGGTGCTCCTTTTCTCTTCTCATTCCTGCCCCCTAACTTCTTGTTTTAGCAAGTTAAATGTCATCCTCCCGAAGGTCATAAAGATGAACTTTTGATCCTTACTCTCATGATAGCATGAGGAGACAAAGATAGAGGTGATAGAGTGCTGTGGGACCCTCACGCCATCAGAACAAGGTGATCTCTGCCTAAGTCCAATTAATCCCTGTCTTTCAAAGGGGCTGAGTATGGGGCTGGAGATGTAGCTCAGTGGTAGAGCATTTGCCTGCCATGTACGATGCCCTGAGTTCAATCTCCACAAAATGAGTAAATGCAAATTTTAAAAAGAAATACTGTGCTGGGGATATATAATTTAATGACAGGGTGGTGGCAGACCCCATTGTTCTGGGTTTAATCCCCTGCACCATATAAAGCAAACAAATAAATATAAATAAGAAATACTAGTCAGGCATGGTGGTATATGTCTATAATCCCAGCACTCTGGAGGCTGAGGCAGGAGGAGCACCACAAGTTCAAGGCCAGCCTGGGCTACATAGTGAGTTCTAGGCCAGCCTGAACTACATAGTGAGACATTGCCTCAAAAAGAAAGAAACCCAAATACTGAGAAGTTGTTGTCAGTTTTTCTGTTGTTACAATGTCTTCCCAGAAGGAGCTTGGAATCTGGACTCGTTGGGTGGTATTTCTAGATTTTCAGGGCATGGCATATAGGTGTATGCATGTATTGGCTCACCTGGCCCTGTTGCGAAGCTATTTGGCTCTATTGTCTTGTTGTCCTTACAGTCAGATAGTCCAAAGGGTTAAAATGAAGGTGTGGGCAGGCTGCCTGTCCTTTGGAGCCTCTGGCTTGGGATCCATTCCATCTTTCCCCACTTCCACGGGCCACTTGCGACCCTTGCCTAGAGATTTAATTGTGTTAGGTGATTGGTGGCTGCTGCTCCCTCTGCTCAGCCAGCCATGTGTCCTCTCCATCTCTGAGCCTGAGACAAGGATGTCTGTGATCCTACAGGCCCCACTGGGAAGGCCCAGGATTGGCTCTCTGTCTTACTTGAGTCACATCTGTAGAGTCCTTTGTAGAAGCCATGTGAGCTCACACACCCTTGCATGCCGAGCTTGGGCCTGGGCACCCTTGGGGTGGTGGGAACATGCTGCCCACCACAGGCCTACAGGCCACCAGTTGGTGATGCCTGGGACAAGAGCTCTCCCAAGGAGTCTCTTCAGTTTGCTAAAAATCTGCTCCTTGCTGTGTGTGGCCAGAGCAGAGTTATGGAGCCATGGAGCCTTATATCTGCACTGGGACCTCCCTGGACCTGTTGCCAGAACAGGCTTAGGTTTTAGAGACAGGCAAGTCTGGATGGGCAGGTGGACTCAATCCCCAAGATGCCAGGTACTAGGCAGAGGTGACAGGGTCTATTTTCTCTTCAAGAATTGGAGACAGGAACCCACATGGATGGCAAGCTCTGGGGCCAAACATCCACACAGATCACTCTGGAGGTGGTTACCAGGGCAGTGGCTTGGGCCCATGATGGTCAAGGCTGCCAGTATTTTTCTGTGCCTTGCAAGCTAACTTTGTAGAATGTCACCTGTCCTCCCAGTCTGCTTCTTGCCTATCTGCATTTACAGGTATTTTATTCTCATATCCTCTGGCAGAAATACCTCTTTACAATGGATGCAGGACAAAGCCCTCCTACATGATAATTGTTTGCTACAGTTAAGTGGAACTTTTACAAATTGACATATGGAAGCTGAGGCAAGAGGAATCCAAGTTCGAGGTCAGCCTAGGCTAGACCTTGGTTCAAAAGAATAGAAAGGGTTGGGAATGGAGCTCAGTAGTAGAGCATCCCTGGGTTCAAGCTCCAGAACAACAACACAACAAGGAGGAATCAGCACATGAGTTATTTTTCAAGGTTGGGGTACATAAACCTGCTTTTATAAATGTTCATATTTTTAGAAGAAAGATGTAAGATTTTTAAAATTGAGTCTGCTTAAGCCTGTAATGCTTAATATTGTTAATAGGCATTTTCTAGATGCTTCAGAGAAAAGTCAGCAGCTGGGAGGATGGCAGGAAATGTCTGGAAGGGGGAATCTCACACACACAGACAAGGAGCCAAGAGGAATTCACTTGAAGGGCCACAAAATTCAGTATCGCTTGAGCTGATCAGTTAAAAAATAAGTTTTAAAAGTATACAGTTTTAGCCCAGCATGGTGGTGCACATCTTTGATCCCAGCACCCAGGAGGCTTAGGGAGGATGGTCTCTGCGAGGCGCTGTCACAGAACAAAACACACAGTAGGAAAAGAGAACAATCAAAGTTTACGTTTACCATAAATAAAATTCTCCGGTGTAGCTCAGCCCTCTCACCTGTCATCTGGCCTTTACTCCTAGAATTAATCACTCAACGAATATATATTTTATATATTAAATTTATTAAAATATATTTTATATTTTCTGAGGTGTTCACATTTTAATATCTCTAGAATTGAAATACCTTTTAGAGTCCTTAAAAAAAAAACTCTGAATCAGCCACAGGGTCTTGGGAAGTTGCTCAGGTTGGCCTGAAAGTTTCAGCCCTCCTGCCTCAGCCTGTCAAGTAGCTGGGATTACGGATGCTCAAAGATGGCCGTGGTGAACAGCACAGAAACAGCGTCTCTGAGATTTGTTGTACAGGCCCTGGAAGATAGCAACATGAAGAAGCAAAATCAGGTAGTGGATCCTCAGGACCCCACAAAGATCTGAAGTGAGAATTAAGTCCCACAAAGAGAGTTCAAAGAGAGACCTCAATGAAGAAGGAGGTGGCAAGCTGCGCTTTCCCACTGAATCCTGACTCACTGTGTTGGGGGACAGCTGAAGCCTGCAGACACATGGTGACTACTGGAGACCCCAGAGGTCTCCACAGAGAATGCACCAGGGAAACAGAGCAGTGGACTGCAGTGGCTGGTGAGTTATTTGGGTTCAGATGTCCCCGAGAGGGTATGTGGCAGGTGACCATCTTGGAGACAGGTGGATTGAGACCAGAACTTGAAGCAGTGGTGGGCTGGCTCCACCGAAGGATTCCCAGTAGCAGGGTGAAGCAGAACCTAGTTTAAGTTTGGCAGGATGACAAAGAGCCAAGTACGAACTGCCAGGTAGCACACAGAGTGTTGTAGGCTGAATAGATCTGGCTCCAGCCGTACAGTCAGAAACCAGCTTGCACTTCAGTGGAACTAAAGGCACAGGTTCACTGGGACCACCCACTGCTCTGCTGTGAAAGTACAACTGGCTTGCTGGAATCAGTCAACATGGATCTGGAGTCTGTCTCACTACTTTGTCTACTAGTGACAGCAGAGACACCTTGAAATGGACACTTGTTTTCTTTCTTTTATTATTTTTGTTTTACTATTTTCTTGATCATTCTTGTTTTTATATGGGTATGAACACTAATTCTAGTTTTTTTGTTGTTGCTGTATTTATTCTTGCTTCTGTCTCTTCCTTCTCTCTTTCCCGCTTCTCTTTTCACCAATTTCCCAAAGTTTGTGTAATTTTCCCTTTTCTTCTAACCTTGCTTTTAATATCTTTCTTTTCTTCTATTTGTCTATTTTCCCCCATATTGTCTTTTAAATTTTCTCCCCCAAAGGTAAAATCACCATACTGAGGGCATATTGACTATATACCATTTTCTGGGTGGGTTTACATTTTCTTATATAACCACAAATCTAGTTGATATCATTAAGGGTGGCAAATTAATAGTTATCACAGTTTGTCTTTTTCTAGGCTGTGTTTAATGCTATGTCATTGCAGATTGTACTAATTTAGCCAAGGTGACATAATTGTTCTAATCATTGGTTCTTCCTAATATGCCAGAATTGATACTACATAAAGATAACAAAAAATACTACAGACCAGTGCCAAGCAACCAGGGGCTGGGCCAAATAGGCAGCAACTTCTCATACCCAATAAATTGAAGAAGTAGGGTCTTGCAACAGACTCAAAGCCCAAAAGCCAGCTACACCTGGAAGACATCCCTGAGAAGTAGTGATTTCCTAAGCATTCTAAAGACCAGCAATAAAGCTACTTGTCATAAGTGATTTGCAAGCATCAACCCAGGAATTAAACCAAAAAACAAAACATAGTAAGTGAGAAGACACTAAACAAGATGCAACTCCAGACTTCCAGCTAACCAAAGGCAAACAAAAGGGGCAATAGGTGGAATAAATGGAAAGCCACCCACCTGGACTTTCTGAAGTGGTAACAACAGAATAACAAAGCAAATGAATGAGGTTCTAGAAAAAAAGTCAATTCAGAAATAATTTTTCAGATAACTACAAAGATGATGACCATAGTAAAAGATATGCTTAGTGGCTCTAGAGAAGATACAGATAAAAAAATATAGGCGGTTAGGAAAATTATGGGAAGCATGAACACCTAACATAGGAAAGAAATACAATCCATTAATTAGATGCAAAAAGATATCCAGGAGATTAAAATTTTCATTGAAAGTATATACAGGAGAATGAGCCAATTTGAGGACAGACTATCAGATATACAAGACAGACTGTGGGTGACAGTCATAAAAAAGAAAAAAATTCTTAAAAATAACAAGGGACCATGAAAAATCAATCAAACAACTGCTAGATCATGAAAACTAAAATAATATAAGATTGATCAGAGTCAGCGAAAAAGCAGGAGCTAGTGTATATGACATCAAAACAATAGTTCACAGAACTTTGGGCACAAAACTTCATAAATAGGTAAAATAATTTGACATGCAGATTTATGAGGCATATAGAACTCTAACTAGTCAGATAAAAAAACATGTAAACCAAGGCATATAAAAGTCAAGATTCCAGGGGCTGGAGAGATGGCTCAGTGGTCTAAAGCACCTAATTGAAACAAGCTTGGCAAAGCACAGGGACCGCGGTTCGATCCTCCAGCACCACATGCCAGCCAGCCCCGCCCCCTGGTGGGCTGAGCTGGCCACACACACACACAATAAATAAATGTAATAAATAAATAATTAAAAAAAAGTCAAGATTCCAGATATTAGAGAAAACAAACAAACAAAAGCACCTATAAAGGAAAGCCCGTCAGAATCCCAGCAGAATTATCAACACAAGTCAAGGAGAGCTTGCCTGAAGTATTTCAAGCCCTAAAAGAAAATAATTTCCAACCCAAAACTATCTTTCAAAATTGACAGAAAAATAGGAGATTTCCATGATGAAAAACACTAAAAGAAATTTATTTTCACCAAATCAGCATGCCAAAATGTCCAGAAGAACATTCTAGAAAGAGATAACAGGGACTAAATCCATAAACTTCTAACAGAATAAATCTACCAGGCAAAGCAAGAAATTAAATGGAGGTGTGAGGAGGAGAAAACCAATAACAGGAAAATAACATGGCAAGAATAAGTCATTATGTATCACTTATAGCCATCAATGCTAATGGTCTCAATTCACCAGTCAAAAGAAATTGACTGCCAGAATGGACTGAGAAGCAAAATCCAACAATATGATGTATACAAGGAACACACTTAATTTAAAAATTCATAGACTGAAAGTCAAAATGATTGGGAAATGATACTCATGTGAATGAGACAGGAAGCAAGAAAAAAAGCAGGAGTAGTAATTCTATTCATAGACAAAGTAGATTTCAAGCCAGGACTAATTAAGAGAGATAAAGAAGTTCAGTACGTCTTTGTAAAGGGAACAATCCAAGGGAAGAGATAACAATCATAAATCATAAATGTTTATGCAACAAATATCACCATGCCCAACTATATAAAATCAACATTAAAGGACATGAAAAATCAAGTAGCTTGGTATGATGGCACATGCCTATAATCACATAACTCAGGAGGCTGAGGCAGGAGGATCATAGTTTGAGGCCAGCCTGGGCTACATAAGTGAGCTCAAGACCAGTCTACACTACATGATGAGAGATTGTCTAAAAAAAGAAATCAAATACTAATGCAATTGTAATGAAGGATCTTAATACTCCACTGTTACAAATACACAGAACAACTAGACCAAAAAAAAAAAAAATCAAAGAAATATTAGAACTGAACCAAAGCTTTGAATAAGTGGACTTAGCAGATGTCTACAGAATGTTCAGCCCTTTAACATCAGTGTATACATTCCTTAGTTGTATAAGTGACATTCTCCAAATAGACCATATATTAGTTCAGAACATGGCTAAGTAAATGCAAAGAAATGGAAATTATCCCTTGCATATTATGAGACCATTGTGCAATGACATTGAAAATCAATGGCAAAGGAAGCCACACAAACTTAATAAACACATAGAAATTAAATAACATCTTCCTGAACAACCAGTGGGCCAAAGATGAAGTTAAAAAAGAAATTAGACAGTTTCTAAATAATGCCAATACAACCTACCAGAACTTATGGGGATGCAATGAAAGCCATCCTAAGATGGAAATTTACAACAGTGAATTCCCATATCAAAAAATCAGGCCAACTTTTTTGCAACAGGTTTGCCGCGAGAGCACAGGCGTAGTGAAGGCCACCACTAAATCGAAGCCAACATGGGAAAGGAAAAGACCCACATTAATATCGTTGTCATCGGACACGTGGACTCCGGCAAGTCCACCACCACCGGCCATCTGATCTACAAATGCGGTGGCATCGGCAAAAGGACCATTGAAAAATTTGAGAAGGAGG